TGTTCATGTTTGCATGAGGCATTGAAGTTAAGATGAGTGTATACGACCATTTAATAGAGACAAAATGCAAAAGAAAAAACCGAAACCGATTGGGACTACTTGAGGTGGGCACAGTCGCTAATAAGAGGTGGCCTCTAAATAGAATTTATTTTATCAGGGTTTGAAATTTGCAGTATCCTGATATCCACATTTGAGGATACTAAAATTTTGTTTTGGACACCAAACTGTGAATGACTTGTATCCAGATTGGATATTACAAAGTTTGTAAGAGAATTAATTAATACCTGCCAGAAATTGTTGGTGAAGCACATTCCACAAATGTCAAGACAGCATCGAGACCTTTCTCTTGTGCGACTGCATTGCTATCCACAACAAATTTCTTTAACAGACTAACATATTTGGAAAATTCATTGCTGTTCTCATCATCAATTGTCTTGAAATGCTTTACACATCCTTCATAACCACTTACTCTCGCTTTCCAAACCTAAAGAAAGTAATATTATCTTCACATCTTAAAGTGCCTATATCATGGTTTCGGAGTTTGCATATCTCGAAAGTTTGGGGTATTTTAAGACACTTTGCAATATATTTTGTTATTGAAAAATTTCATCTTGATGGATTTATTACCTCTCAAAGTTACCGGACATGACTTCAAAAGGAGAATTTTGTTGCAATAATACAAAGGAAAACTGATTTGCAATTCTCCTTTTGACGTCATGTCCGGTAATTTTAAGAGCTAATAAATCCATCAAAATGAAATTTTTCAATGACAAAATATATTGCAAAGTGTCTTAAAATACCCTAAACTTTCGAGATAGCAAACTCCAAAACCATGATATAGGCACGTTAAAGTCAAGCACGAATTAATATTATGTCACACTAAGAAATCACACAATTTTGGGCGACAAAAATGATGATGGGCACTATAGCTAGCAAAAGAAATAAAGTTCTGCCTAAAGGCCCGTTTACACGGGCGATTCTTGCTGCAATTTTTGCTGCTATTTTAGGTCAATTTTCTCCTTTTGGAGGATGTGAAGGAGTAGATGAGTTATAATTTTTCCTGGTTATGAAATCTTATAACAACATCTTAAGTAATCTACTCCTTCACTAATTCCATGCCATTTCAACACAGGCATGACACCCACCCTCTCCAAATTTCTTTATATTTCGCAGGCAGTTAACATTGTGTGGGAATAGTTTAAGTTCAAAATTTGAGCATCGTAGCTGCAAACAACTCTGAAACCTGGTAAAGCAACAGGGCCCTCCAGCCTTCCTATAAATATTCTTAAAATCTTGAAACAATTTATATCGAAACCCCTGGAAATTGTGTTCAATGCTTCTTTCGCTACAGGTATAGTACCCAGTAAGTTTAAGATCGCCAGGGTTATCCCAGTATTCAAAAAGGGGTTACAAATTAATATAAATAATTATCGACCAATTTCTCTTCTTTCTGTTTTTAACAAATTACTGGAAAAACTCATGTATAACAGACTTAGTAGTTTCCTTGAGAATTTAAATATTCTTTATGATAATCAGTTCGGTTTTCGATCTCATTATTCAACTGAGCATGCTATTCTTTCTATAGTTGATAAAATTCAACAAGCAATTGAAAAGAAACAATACTCTTGTGGGATTTTCCTGGATTTTAGTAAGGCATTTGACACGGTTGATCATACAATACTACTGAAAAAGTTAGAAAAACTCGGAATTCGTGGGATTGCCAAAAAATGGTTTGATTCTTATCTAACGGATAGGAAACATTTCATCTCAATAAACAATATTTCATCTAATCTATATGACATCACTTGCGGAATTCCCCAAGGGTCAGTGCTAGGACCCCTCTTATTTCTTTTATACATCAATGATTTTCATAAGTGCTCTAATTTTTTCGATTCTCATCATTTTGCTGATGATTCAAATTTGTTTTGCAAAAATAGATGCTTACTTGAACTTGAAACCAATATAAATATAGAATTAAGTAATATAGATACTTGGTTATGTGCTAATAGGTTATCACTTAATGTTGAAAAATCAAACTTTCTTATATTTCATCCTTATCAGAAAAATATACTAACAGACATAAAACTTTCGGTAAGAAATAAAGTCATTAAACAAGTAGATCACATAAAGTATCTTGGTGTTTTTTTCGATCCTCATTTAACTTGGAAAAAACAAATTACGTTCATTTCAAAAAAGATTAAAAGAAGTATAGGAATTTTGTCTAAACTTAGATATTATGTAGATAGCAACATTCTGGTTAATTTATATTATGCTTTAATTTACCCTTTTATAACATATGGTTTAATCATATGGGGTAATGTTTATTCCTCAACTGTCAAACCTTTAATTATACTCCAAAAAAAGGTTGTGCGTGTTATAACATTCTCTAAATTTGATGCCCACTCTAGCTCACTTTTCAAACAGTTGAATATTATTAAGTTGACTGATCTTCTAAATCTACACGTGGTTCTTTTCATGTACAAATATCATAACAACTTGTTGCCACCAACGTTCAACAATTTCTTTACTCCTGTGTGCAATGTTCATTCTCAAAATACGAGGCTTGCTTCTAAATTAACATATATACTACCAAAAGCAAGAACAAATTTCGGAATTTTCAATATCAAATATCAAGGCGCTAAAATTTGGAATTCTTTACATGAATCATATAAAGACTTGCCGATTTCTCAAATTAAATATAAAATTAGAATCGATTTTCTTGGAAAGTATTGATTCAGTTTCCAACTCCAACTTTTTCTATATACGTTATCGGGAGTCATGCAGGACTCCTTTCTCGATCTTTTAAATATATTTGATATAGAACTATATATTGTCAATTTTCATAATTTTTTCGTCCTTTATTTGGTTTCCTGATATTTATATAGCCCTGTGGTTATTTCAGGGAGCCAGCTCTCTTTCAAATCTTCTCAAAAATTATAAAACAATTAGTCACAGATCACAAATATATTTTACTAATAATAATGTTAACTATAATTTAAATAATTTCTTTGTGTATATAAATTGCAATTTGAAAGGAGCAAATAAATCTTGTATCTTGTATCTTGTAATAGTTTTTGAGATATCGCAATTTGAAATATGGCCCGAAAAGCAAAAAAGTGGGCGTGGCCAGTGCTAAATTTACCATTACCCTATTTTACATTTTGACCTGTAACTTCATACCCGTACATGGTATATCCATCAAAATTTGCACAAAGATGTATTTGTATGTGGAGATTTCAAATATTGCACTTTCATCTTTGTATCTGCAACCAGTAATGTGTTATGGCACAGCAAAAAGTCTAATTATGTGTTTCTGAAGACACTAAATATACATCATCTTTATTGGAAAATTTTTTATGGAAGCCATACAGACACATCAGTAATTTTTATTCCACATCATATCCACATGCTATTCTACTTTTAAGCAAAATTTGGTGATGGTTAGTTGCCTGCTTTAAAAAGTAGAGCCCTTTAAAGTTGTCGTATTTTCTAAATAACTTTAATAGTACGTTTTGGGTGTTTGTTAAGAATAAAATACATTCATTGAGAAATGAGACTGCCAAATAGCTTAATGTTTGATTCTATCATTCCTTTTTAATAGTACATTATGTTCTCCAAGAGTAACTGTTATTTCTTGTATCAAGTTGCCTTTGATCAAAATCGATGCAGTATATATAGAGATCACTACTGTTTATCCATGAATGTGCATAAGACTTCTTGGTCTTTAAGCCGCAGTTTGTACTGCCTCCCAGTGACTATTGTTCGGAACACCAATGTTAGAAATAATGTTCTCATCCGAAACCCAACAAGTCAGTGATTGACCAATTATTATCAATTATTCATCCAATAATATACCCGATTCTGATTTTCTATGACGTCATAATCCATTTCGAGATTTTAATGATAATTTCCAACGTAACATGTTACTAGTAGCAACCAAAGTTCGTTAAACCTGTACATAAATGACACGCTTCACGTATCTCAACGGTTTGCTCCACACCTACTATGCAACACGCTACCGTTCGCGCAAGAGATTAAACAGTTGTTGTTTTCACATAAAAAAGTGCATTCAACGTGTATCACCGCGCAATATATATGATTTTTAAAGTGCGTATTTTCTCAACAATCGGTTTTACACAATCGGAAAATACAAATTATTCTACCGATTCCGATTGTCTACCGATAAGCAAAAATCGGTCCGATTCCGATTATAATTTTTTATTTATTTTTTTTATTAAAAACATCTTGTAACACGGTAGCTAATCAACTAAAAAAAAATATTAGCAAGGTTGTCGTTACTTTTCACTAGGCCGTGTACTTACAGACAGTATAAGAGATTCCCATGCACTCACCCTCCCCGAACCATCCAAATAATATTAGAAAGATATTCAAAGTTTATTATTTACTCCAACCCCACCCAGATAAAATTAAAATTATATAAAAATTTTATTTCTTTCATTCCAAACTTTAGCAGCAACATAACCGAAAGTTCGTTTCATTGAATTTGTTTTTGGCTTCAACAACATCAACTTATTTTTGTTATTTTTTAATTCATATCGATCTGAATTATATAGTTTAAACATGTCCGAAATGTTTTTGTGAAATTGGCATGTAAGTGCTTTTGATACATATTTTAGTCGTTGCTCCGTCATTCTTTCACCTAACGTTTTCCAATCTAGTTTCTTTAAAATATCTATGGAGCGTATTTCATATGAGTCACCTGTAATAACTTTTGCAGCTCAGTTTTGGAGTTTCTGAAGATTGCCTCTTAAAGATTCGCCCCAGTTACCCCAAATCATCAAGCAGTAATCAAAGTGTGGTTGGACTGAAGCTCGATAAAGATGTTTAAGAGTTTCCGTTGAAACGTATGGCTGACACGAGTACACGACGCAATTATCGGTCAATCGCTAACAAGTATCCTCTTATTGGTCAGAAATATGATCTTGCGATGCACTTTGGGTGCATAAACCTTATTAATTTTTGCATTTCTTTGATCATTGTCAACTTCTTCAATCAAATCAAGCCATTTTTCATCATCTTACAAGCATACAATAAAAGAGTTCACTGAAAGTACAATTGGTTCACGAGCAGGGGTAGATAAGAAATAAATTGTATTGCATACTTTTGATCCATTGATATTCTTTTTGTGTATGTACTATTAATAAATATGTAATTTTTAAACTTTTAAAACAAATTTTAAATACGCACTATCAATAAAGAAGGATCGAATGAAACATTAAAGTATTTTGCAGTCTCATTTCTTAACAAACACCCAAAACGTACTATTAAAGTTATTTAGAAAATACGACAATTTTAAAGGGCTCTACTTTTTAAAGCAGGCAACTAACCATAGATAGATAGATAGAAAAACTTTATTTAAACACGCTGACCCCGTCAACCGAAGCTGATTTCCACGGGGGGCGTGTGCAAACTATACAGATACACTAAAAAGCTATTTACAAAATTATATAAGATATATAGTATTAAATAAGTTAAAGTAATTTAGATATATTTACAAATCATTAATCAATCAGTCAATGTGAGTAACGATTTTTTTCCGAAAGGCAGAAAGGGATTTGCTCTCTCTAATTTCTTTTGGAATTGAATTCCATAGGTGTGCCCCGTCATACATGAAACTTCCTTTCATATTATTAGTACGCGGTTGTGGTAGACAAAGACCACTTGAAATATCTCGGAGGTGATACTTTGTTTTCTCACCTTTATATGTGAAAAGATTATATAAAAATTTTATTTCTTTCATTCCAAACTTTAGCGGCAGCATAACCAAAAGTTCGTTTCATTACGGCAGCATAACCAAAAGTTCGGCAGCATAACCAAAAGTTCGTTTCACCAAATTTTGCTTAAAAGTAGAATAGCATGTGGATATGATGTGGAATAAAAATTACTGTTGTGTCTGTATGGCTTCCATAAAATTTTTTCCAATAAAGATGATGTATATTTAGTGTCTTCAGAAACACATAATTAGACTTTTTGCTGTGCCATAACACATTACTGGTTGCAGATACAAAGATGAAAGTGCAATATTTGAAATCTCCACATACAAATACATCTTTGTGTAAATTTTGATGGATATACCATGTACGGGTATGAAGTTACAGGTCAAAATGTAAAATAGAGTAATGGTGAATTTAGCATTGGCCACGCCCACTTTTTTGCTTTTCGGGCCATATTTCAAATTGCGATATCTCAAAAACTATTGCAGCCACGATGCTTAAATTTTGAACTTAAACTATTCCCACACAATGTTAACTGTCTGCGAAATATAAAGAAATTTGGAGAGGGTGGGTGTCAAAGCAGTTTTTTGTGTTGAAATGGCATGGAATTACTCAGAGGAGAAAATCGCAAATAAAATTGCAGCAAAAATTGCCTGTGTAAACGGGCCTGAAGGCTATGGTTACACTATACCGGATAGCCTTCTGTAGCAGTATGAAAAAGCACCTATATGTCTATACAATACAGAATGTACAACTTTCGGAAGCTGAGCGAAACAACATCTCTCTGTTGCAATAATTCCTCTGAAAATAGCGTTCCTAAAAGGTACGGATAGGTGTTTTTTCATGTCACTACAGAAAGCTATACGATACAGTGTAAACATAGCCTGAATGTTAAATTAAATAAAAGCAATCAATTGCATCTTTATCAAAGTAAATCTGTAAAATTTTGACGGTAATTCCATTGATGTAAAAACTGAACTCTTAATACCATTACTGGTTATTACTTATTATAGATTTCCCATGTGATAAATTGGTAAAAACCATGATGTTTAATTATAGTAATGGCGTCACTTTCAAGGGCTGAATAAACAACTACTGTACATGCAAATTTTAGATGTTGTGCATGTTTACAGAGGGTATATTTTCCAAAATAATTTATATTGTTGTCTTGCATAGTATTGAAACTGATAAAGTGGTAAATTTGTCACTCGAGATTTGCACATTCACGATTCATTTTATGTATCACGTGACAAACTTTCTCCAGACTCCTGAGTACATCCGTTTTCGCCGAGATTTCAGGGGCGGAAAGCTGAAAAATCTTGGGGGCAGGGGCACAAAAATGTCCCAGGGGTGGCCTTTGGGTGGCCAGCCTCCCAAAGGACAGTCAATGCTGAAACAAGAAGAAAATGGCTTAATTTGTTTCACATCTTTTTTGTTTTCTTCGCAAGTCAACTCAGGACTGCGGCATAGTAAAATCACATCAACATCCAGTAACATCAAGTGATCTTGTTGCAAAATTCAGTCCAACTATGGAATATTTATTTTCGGGCTGCGAGCAGGCTAACCTTTTACTATAATGATCAAAAGGGCCCAGTTCATCTGAAATCATACTTCACTACTGGGGGAAGCGAAGGGTCTACTGGGGTAAATGCCCCAGTAGTTATATGGTTAAAAAATGCCCTGAGACATGCTTCTTAATTTATGTGCAGACACACAGGAAATAAATAATAAGCCCCCAAAAGGAAAACATGGCTGACCCTTTGTCTGCATCCGAATCAAGCATTAATAATTCATAATCTAAACATAAACATATCAAAATACATTTGGGTAAATATGAGATATAGTGTAAATCTTAAGTCACACGACTATATTAGGCTATTAACCACGAGGTTAATAATTTTATATTACATAAATCATATTTCATAACCACTAATAAGCAACCTGTATGTGTATGGCATTGAAGACTATATTCAAGAACTGTATGTGTTAATATACGCAGGAAAATATACATGCTTTTTTAAGATTCCCAGTACAAGAATGTTACCCATATTGATGGGCGGATAGTGCATGGAAAATTGTTGCATAATATATTTCGGGGGTGCTAAAATTTGTGACGTAAAAAATCTCGGGGGCACAATGGACAACTTGCATGTTAGACTAAATTTTAATCTAAGTAAAGAGAAAGGAATCAGACACAACAGTTAAAAAGAAAATAATGAAATTAGTAAAATTGCAAAAGTTGGTTGCGAAATGTTGTAAAATAAAGAAAATATAGCCTTGCGAAGTTTGCATATTTTCAGTATATTTGTATTACATGCGGAAATTGTTACCATTTTCAGCTCAAAAATGGTAACAATTTCCGCACGTAATACAAACATACTGAAAATATGCAAACTTCGCAAGGCTATATTTTCTGTATTTTACAACATTTCGTAACCAAATTTTGCGATTTTACTGATTTTAATAAATTCTTTACGGGAATTTACTTTTTTTTGCCTAAATAAAAAATTAGTCTAACATGCAAGTTGTCTATTGCCCTACTCTACAGTCTGGAACTTTCTGGACACCTCATGTCTGCTGTGCAAACTCTGAAGCTATTAAATACTATTTGGCCATTTTCAGTAGCTGAAAATGGCAAAACAGTTTGACAAAACACATGTGACTTCAGATTCTATGTACTTTTGACAGATTCAATATTGCCATTATTCTACAAAATTGTCACATTTCTTGTAAACTCACTTTCCAGCCGGAGCTAGGTAAAAGCACCTCCACTCCAGTTGACCAAAAAAATGCCGGATCTCCAGTAGAACTCTGGCCTCTGGCACAAAGCACTACCTTGTGACCACTTTTGAACTAAAGTTCTGCAATGTTCTACTGGAAATGTGCTCTTTATGATTGAGAAAATTATCTGGTGTGAAGGTCAACATTTCAATAGTTCTATCAAGTGACTCAGATTCCTGTGATATTATACACCCTGTATATTATTATCAAAGCTTGTCAATTGATCCAAAAGTGGTCACAGCTACAGAATATGTCAAGTGAGGTCGAGGGATCTTCCAGTAGGCGACATAAAAAGTTCCATATAAACACATGGCTACATTTGTCGCTATTATGCTTGTCTTAGGTCAACTATTACAATTATCTATGACACCGGGTCATAACTGGCATTATAACAGTCGTATTCTGTATATAAAATACTGGGAAGTTTCAATAACTTCGGAGTTTTGACAAACACAGAATTGTTTCATTTTTTACAGTGTTCAACCGAAAAGTACATATGTAATGCTAACCTTATGTTGGACTCTTTCTTCCAGTGGTAATTTGTTGAAGTCGACCTCTTCAGCCATACGTAGAACGATTAAAAAGCTAAGTATTTCCTCCCAAATACAAAATGTTTTATTTCTTCACCGTTCGTCCATGTTTGTATGTCTTCGAACCATGTGATCACTTTGGACCAATCAAATGGAAGGATTCGGAAATTTGCCAAATTGAAATTTTAGTTTCCCGCGGCTGCCACTGATGCTGATGCAGTGAACTCTATATATATATATATATATATATATATATAGAGTTCACTCATAGATATAGCTATGAGTTCACTGTGCTGATGGCGGCTGCTCGAGGGCTTCCACTTAGGGAAAATAAAATCCATGCGAAATTTTCATGCGACTTCATTTTCAGCAAATTTTGATGCTTTGAAGTGGATGTTTACACCGGCGTAGATAAAACGCGGAGACGGACGGCGGACGACGAATTTTTTTATCGATTCTTTTAGTTATAAACACGGACTACTTTTATTCGAGTATAAAATTGACCTGAAATAGATACAGTCTCATGGACATAACTACAAAATCTCAAATGGGCACAAAACTAATCTGTACGAAATTAGCAAATTTCGCGTTTCCAATCTTATGAGCTTCTTTGTGAGTTTTACTCCGCGCGCAATGACGCTACTTACAGCCTTTCATGAAGAGGTGAAGTTTTGTCTACTCATTTCGTATTCATGGGAATTGATATTACAAATCATCTTATTGTGCAAATCCCATTTGTTGTTTTCAAAGTGCTTTTCATTGCGACCAATATTTATATTTATATTTATAAGCAAATAAGAAAATATTGTTGCAAGCCAATTATTTAAAAAATTGATTGATAAAAATTTAATTCCTTCATATTCGATTGACAATACATAATTAAAATTACAAAAATCATTAGCTAAAATAAATTCATTTACAATAAAACCATTAATATATACATTGTAATGACCCTATACTAGCTATAGAGGCTCGCGGTTCACCATTATCTATGATTCTCGGGACTTCATATACACGTCTTCATTATGTCCAAGGGAGTGATTATTATTCATTGCGGGGGTGGCACCGAAGAGAAAAGGGTTGGGTAGGCAAAGTTTTGAGAGAGTAAAAGGTTGGGTAGATGAAAAACAAAACAACTCAAGGGTTGGACAATAAAAATTTATTGTCATTTCCAAAGCATGACTCACTCAAATATTGACGACTAAAAAGCAATGTCAACAGTCAAATGTCAATATAATGTGTAAATCAATC